GTTCATGATTATCGTAACCAAGGTATTATATGGTTATATTAGTTCAGTAGGAAATAATAGTTATTTATGTATCAAGGGTACTAAGTAGATGATTATGCCCTGAGGGCGACATCCTTACAAAGCCAAGGACCTCTGGACCGAGGGTTGGTAAGTCGCCCGAGGGTATATATCGGGTCTTCAAAAAAAAAACCAATCGAAGATTGCTATGGTTTTTTAAACGTATGTCTTAGCAATATTTTTCTTTAATTTTGACAATGTCAGTCAATGAAATTTAATGTCAAAATGTCATGTCAAAAATCCTGACCAATAAAGAAACAATAATGCGACGTACGTTTTCGTAACCAAAGCAATCTTTGATTGGTTTTTTTTTTGAAGACCCGATATCTATTAGTACCAGTGGTGCATACAAACTTTTATGTCATACCAGGGGGACTTTATTTGAAATCAATGCAACTTTGCGTACACGCAAACGATGTCATTTGTGGCGTAATTGTCAACCTGATGTTTAGAATGGTACATTATGCCCGTGCGGGCCAGAATGTGTACTTTATGCCCGCACGGGCATAAAGTGATGATTTATGTAGATGGTATCTAAGGTATAAAAACACAATAATGTACTGGTATGACATAAAAAATATATCCTTATCCTGTCAGTATAATATGACGCACAAAAAATCAAAATTTGATAAGAAATGTTCTAGGAAGACAACCAAAGATAAATCGATGCAAAGACAGTCGTTGACTTCTCTAGAAGACAGTTCTGATGCAATGACATTTAAGAAACAAGCCTGTTAAAACTGTCCTTTAGGTAATTGGTGACATTCGACATTGCAATGGTTGTTTCAAGGAGGCTCCCTAGGTTTCGGTTTCACTGTATTTTTATCATAATATGACAGATCAATAAACGCACATATAATACCTTGCGGCAGTTAACTAATAGCGTATTTCATTGGTAGACCAAGTGCAACACTGGTGCAATATTTGTGATCCATTGGCAGAGTCCGCACTGCACTTTTGTATTTCTTTGGAAAAGCAATGCACTGAGTTTTGCACTGAATACTGAATGCTGTTGGTGCTCTACCAGCTAAAAAGCTCGTGTCGCACTCAGTGGAGTTGTTTATTGTTATTTTTGAAATTGAGGTTATGAGGTTATTGATGGTTGATGGTTTTTCATAAAAAAACAGTCCCATGTTTAATTTTTTTATAATTGTCTGTGGTCAGTGCAAAACGAGTGTTGCACTTGCTCTACCAATGAAATACACTAGGAAATTTGTTATTGGACTTATACCAATGTGATGGTGCAGCATATTATTTGATAAGGTGGGTTTATACAGCCACATAACATAACATAAGAAATAACATAACATCAGAGCTGGGCAGGGCTTGAGTGCTTTGTGCTTGCGAAAGTGCTTGAAGCACTTTAAGAGGGCTTGAAGCACTTTTGGGAGCTTGAAACACTTTGAAAGGGCTTGAAGCACTTTGAAAGGGCTTGAAGCACTTTAAAAGGGCTTGAAGCACTTTAAAAGGGCTCGAAGCACTTTAAAATGAATTTAAAAATTTTCGATCGTATTTTGTCCTTTAATTTTTTTTTCTATTATTTGAACTTGAACCGTCTAATGTCTTTTCTCTCTTAACAATGGAGGTTTTGGGTTTGAGCTTAGAATGGAATTTAAAAAAAAAATGAATGAACTTATTATTCAAATAAATAATTAATTTATATTGGTATCCTATTTAACTTTATCAGTGGATTTTTTTCACTTTTCCTCATTGAACATTTTGGAAACCTTAAAATTGAATTACCATGTAGTACCCCAACTACCCCAAGTACCCCAGAACAAATTCAAAGTGCTTTAGGCACATATAAAGAGCTTTAAGCACATTTAAAGAGCTTGAAGCACATTTAAAGAGCTTGAAGCACATTTAAAGAGCTTGAAGCCCTTTTCAAGGCATCCCAAGCACTTTTGATGTGCTCCAAGCACTTTTCAAATCACTTTGAGGGCTTTGTGCTTGTCAAGCCCAAAGCACTTTGAGGGCTTTGTGCTTGTGAAGCACTTTTGAAAATAAAAAGGAATTTGTGCTTGAAATTGAAGCACTTTGATAGAGGGCTTAGGGCTTAGTGCTTCAAGCCCTTTTACTGAGGGCTTTGCCCAGCTCTGCATAACATAAGATAAAAAGTTGACCTTATGGAAACCCCTTATGGCGTTTATACAGAAAATAACATAACAAACTCTTCGATTTGGTTGACATCATACAGTGTCCAATGAAAAACTTTGCAGACGATGGAAAACTGTACATTAATCCACTTATTGGTGCCCATTTACTTAAAACAGACCTAGAAAATATTGAAAGCTGGTCCAGAACATGGGGGATGAAGCTAAACGCATCAAAATGTACAGTGCTTCGAATTGGGCCAAACAATCCAAACACACAGTATACTCTTAATAACACGACCCTCACATCAGTGAAAGAACAGAATGATCTAGGAGTCATTATAACATCTGATCTGAAATGGGAGACACATATAAAGAAAATAACGAAAAAAGCAAACTCTTTTGTATATCTCATAAAGCAAGCTTTTAGGGACCATTCAGTGGAAATGATAACGAAGCTGTACAAAAGTTACATAAGGCCAAAAGTTGAATATGCATTTACTGTGTGGAATCCCTATTATATAAAGGACATTGAACTCCTAGAAAGGGTTCAGAGAAGAGTTACAAAAATTCCTCTAGAACTTAGGTCCTTACCATATACAGAAAGGTTAGAAAGGCTCAATCTTACAACCCTTAGAGAGAGGAGACACAGGGGAGATCTAATAGAGACGTTTAAAATAACTAACGGCCACTATCAGTGCAATATTAAAAACCTTTTTCATCCAAGTCAAAATAACCAGCTTAGAGGCCATTCTAAAAAACTAGAGAAAGAAAAGACATCGAAAATGGTAAGAAGAAACTTCTTAGTGAATCGTGTTGTGTACTCCTGGAACGCTCTACAGGAAGAAACAATTTCCGTCGTTTCTATCAATGCATTTAAGAACAAAGTGGACTCTGAATTGAAACAGGACTTTAATAGGATGGTTCATTATGGTGTATAAACAGAAACAAACTCTCATATCAAAAGACACAATAGCTTCATCGGTTTCACCGCCTGCTATTGGTTAATTATAGAATTATAGAATTATAGAAATAAGAAAGTTGGTTAACTTATAACTTTTATGTCTTATTTTATGTGAAAACGGATCTGCGCATGCTCCTCTCTTCATTTCGGCAATGGCAAAGTAGTAAACAAAACATTCCAACCAAAAAAAAAATATTTGTTCTCCAAACGTCAAAAAAACGCCACTTTGTTAATCTCTGTCAAGATGTCAGAAATTTAATTTCTATGCTGGTAGGCAAATCCAGCAGATTAACACCTGTCGAGGTGGTAGAAATTTAATTTTTCTCCAAATGACAGTAAAAGCGGCCTTTTAATGACACTTGAGAGGATCCAAAGTTGTATTTTTACTGCCTAGGCAGTAAAAGTGGACTTTTATTGCCTAGGCATTAAAAGTGACAATGTCTCAACGTTCCAGGTAATAATTCCACTCAATTTGGTATTTGAAATTGATGGTGACAATGACAATTGTCAAAATAATTTAATTATTTAGATAATAATAATGAATGAAATAAATGTAAAAAAGATATCCATGCGTGTGAATTTGAACATTCGGAGAAAAAATTATATGTTTTACATGGCAGAAAAGCAGATTTAATGCCTTGGCTGGTTTCCTAGCCTCGGCTATGAAACACCAGCCTCGGCATTAAATCTTGTACTTTTCTGCCTAGTAAAACAAATAACTATTCTATGCTGCTTGGCAACCCCAGCGGCAGCAAAAGTACTTTTAGTGCCGCTCGTACTTTTACTGCCGCTTAACAATTCAGTTACCCCCGAGCTTACCCCATTTGTTTGGAGAAAAAATAGCGTGTTGCACACGGAGCAGAAGCACTTTTTTGTGCTTCAGCAGTATTGCAAGCCTCACTACGTTCGGCTCGCAAACCTACTGCTTCAGCACAAAAAAGTAAAGCTTCTACTCCTAATACAACAATATAATATTGATTCTGTTTTCAGCTATTGGTAATTTTTTGGAATTCGATATTTATTTTCTGTTTCTGCTAAATTATTAATTAGGTAATAATTTTTTTGATCAAATATAGTGTTTTCGGTAGAGTTTACATAAGTAGGTACACGTACCAGCTGATTGGTTAGAAATTATTTCTTATGTTATGTTATTTTCTGTATAAACGCCATAAAATTCTTATTTCTTATATTAGGATGTTGTCTTATTTTATCTTATTTCTTATGTCATGGTCACAGATTTGGATTTTTAACTTGTTTTGAATAGTCCTAACCGTTCATAGTTACTTAGTACTGTCCTTTTATAAAGAATGTTTAAAATTTTTTATACAGATGTGATATACCCATTAAGTGATATAGTATTTTAATAATTGTAATTGTAATTGATTGTAACCTAGTTTTAAGATTTTGATAACGCTATGAAACTCTGTTTTAAGTCTGAAATATATACAACCTATACAACCTATGTTATGTTATGTGCTGTATAAACCCACCTATAGTCTGTTTTTTTTTTAAGATAATTGCCCAAGTCAAAAATTTAGTAACTATGTTGGCAACACTAGCTTTTTCTACATAAAAAATTTGAAACCATTGACAATTTTACATTGTATTGCCAATAGAATGTCATTTTGACTTTTATCTTTAAATAAAAAACAGATTTTAGATAAACATTTTTCATTTAGGCCTGGTTTATTCACTTTCTGATAAACAACTGTCAGATATTCAAAGTGACGGATAAATAAGGAATCCGCAATCCCATTGATAGGCCAGTTATCAGCCGACCAATAGAATTACAGAATGTTAAATTTATCTTGAGTTTGAGTACCTGCCAGTTTATCTGAAGATTAATAAACCGGACCTTAATATACTAAAAAATTTACTTTACTTACCAAGTTGAAAGCAACTAAACTATTCTCGGGAGCATCTAAACCAGCCCCCCTATGAGCAATGGTTTTCAACACATAACCTTCCTGGTTTGGGTTATCGAGCAGATCTTTGCCAATAATACTTTCAACGGCTTCTTGCGACGGCCGTACGGCACGCAGACCGTAAGTGGAAAATACAAGAACGGACGTAAGTAAAACACCAAAAGGAATAAAATTGGTACATATTTCACTTATGAAATGGAAGCATCCATAGAATGCGAACACTATTGTTAACGCAGTAGGCACTATGTTTAGAATATCTTTAGTAGTTGACATACTCGAATTTGTATGGCAATTAGTCCTTAAACCTAGAAAAAAATTATTATTTTCAAAATTTGTTTAAAAATGATTTTTTTTATTATTATTTTTTCATTGAAATTTCAAGAATTGAATGTCATGTTGTTATGTCACAACAAGTCATAGTAGACAAATGACAGAAGCCATTTGACAAATTGACATTAGTCAGTGAACTTAAAGCTAGAGACGAAATGAAGATGAAACAGATGGACACAGAGTAGGCTATATTCATTAACGCTCAATAAGAATTATTATTCTTTTAAATCCCACACAAAGTTAATTTAGCAGTTGTTAATTAATTGTGCATTGGCAGTATTGGTACATAAAACCTTATTTATTTATTTTTGAAGTGAAACTTCTTAGGCGGCGGCCTGATTTGGACGAGAATGGAGAGCGATTTGAAAAACGTAAAAAAACGGAGAACGACAGCTATTGATTGACACAAACCAAGGATTATAAGCGCAAAGAGGATTGCCGACACCTTTGTGACGTCACTACAGATGCGTGTCTCCCTGTTTTTTGTGTTTTGTGATTATTTCCGTTATTCATACAATTGTGTGCTGTGCTTTTTGAATAAAAACTTCTTAAGTCCGGGACACATCTATCATGCATTCTTCCGATCCGACTCCGATCATACAATCAAGGTCCTTATTCTTGGAACAGGGGAGCAGCGGAACACGCGTTCTCCTGGGAATGCTGTTCTCTGTTCCAAGAATAAGGACCTTGATTGTATGATCGGAGTAGGATCGGAAGAATGCATGATAGATGTGTCCCTGGCTTTAGGCGGAGGTTTAGCATTTGGACGATGATAGTGGAGAGTGATTTGAAAGACGCGTCACGTTCGGCAAATTTCGTTACAGGAGAAAGAAGAAAGATATAACTTATAGAGGCGGAGAAAGACAGCCAATGACAATGACAGCCGACGAACGATTGACACAAAGCAACGATTATAAGCAAAGAAGATTACCTATTATTGTGAAGCGCCAATACCCTTGTGACGTCACTACAGATGCGCATCCCCCGGTAGTCTTCACCTTTACACCGACTCATACGCTAAGTCTAAAAGTTGCATCAGTGGGATAATTTTCAAGAAGTTAAAAGTTTCACTTCTACCGTTGATTCTACCACGTGTAGGTACGGCGCTGCACATGGTTTTTTATTTATAGTGCAGTCCTGTAACGTAACCGAATTTTTCTTCGAATAAGAAAATTGTCTGATATAGGTACCAGCAGGTACCTAAGAAAATCTTTTAATGTTTTGAATTCCTGACTACTAGGTGGGTGAAATCAAAATTTATGCCACACTATTCTTCTGGCCATTCGATGATTTATCTTTCCTTAAAACAATTTAATAATGTCTAGCAATCCACAAACTGCATCTTCACCGGACGTAGATGTCAACTTGCTTAATCTAAATGGGATAATGGGATACCCTATAATTTTATTTTTGGTTTCTACTCCAGATTCAAGGGAGATTCTAGTCAAGTTTTATTAAAGATTTGCGAGAACGTTCATTCCAAATGGTCTGCTCTGCAGCTACACATGTTAGACACTACTCCCCATCTCTATCTTGAATAATCCTAAGGCTATCGGAACCTTGTCTATGTACTAAACATTAAGCAACATGCCATGCAATTATGAGTTCTCCCTGTATTTGGAGATAGTCTATTTTTCTCAGGCATGATGCTATTATTTTTATTGACTTGCTTGCTCTTCTAGACCCACCCAGCTTTCTCGAGTCCGCGTGAAACTCCAATAGATAATTTAGGTAAATTATAAAGCGAAAGGGCCCTATGTTGTTGTATGTGTTGGAGGTGTCAGTTGCACCGCGACCTGATAGATCTATTGTACCCCTCCTTCTGCTGCCAGGTCAGGGCTTCCTGCTCGAAGCAGCCCCTCCAGAGCCCTAATAAGATGGTATGTTCTGATTCAATAAGTTACCTGAATATGTTAGTCTGTGAAAACCTACAACCAATAGAACACGAAATAGATAAAAATAACCATAAAGAATGTGTTCCAGAAATCGGCGACTGGCGCACATCCAGACATCAGACACTGGTCTGTATTAAAATGGTTCATGTATGCATTCAAACATTTTCGTCTTCTCAATGATTCAAAATCCCAATTCTGTTTGTTCCCTAATATATCTATCATTAGTTCTGGATATCATGATCTACATGTTCTAATCTCATTATAGATCTTAATGGATTTTAATGCTCTGCAAACGATTCTTTTTATGAATATATTACCCTCCTGAATATTGGAAAAGTAGTTAGTTATTCAGTTGAATTTCCCAAGAAAAATCGTTGTTACATAAAAATGCGTTTTAGAAGTATAATGGACTGTTTTTGTATGTTTTTAGAGTATTTTGCCAAAAATACTTCGATACACGGAATTCACTTTATAGGAAATAAAGAAAATCCTTGCGTAGGAAGGTAAGATAAGAGAACAAAAATATATCCTGTTTGTAGAGGCTTGAGAAATAATTTCCTACCCACAAATCCTAAGATTTTTAGCTGGGATCAAATAAATAAGAGCCAAAATCTACGTTTCCTTTTTTCTTCTTATATGTATCTCCAATGCCTTTCTGGGTTTTTAAGAGATGTGTTTCTTGAATTTTTCAGTTATTTAGAGCAAAATATCACTTATCTATTTCAGAATTCTATGGCTTATAATCGTTCTCTTTGCCCTGAGCTGTAGTTACATTATCATAAAATCCAACTGGAATCATTACATTGAAAGCCCAACAGTGGTTACTATCAAAAAAGATTTTAGAAATTGGGAAAATCCTTTTCCAGCTGCTACTGGCTGTTTTTTGAATAAGGTGGATGAAGGAAAAGCAGCAACATTTATTGAAACGTGCGTCCTCAACTGCTTTAGTTACAGCATAATAACATTGTATTTTTTAGACGCTGGAATATTTCAAAACATAATGAAAAATATGAGTATTACTTAAATTTCGTAAAAACTGTATCAAATTTAACATACGAAACATTTCATACTCTAGAAAAATTCAAAAACGATGCCAAACTAAATGAGATTGATTTTGTCTCGTTAATTACAAACGTGCATCCTGAGCTCAGTGGAACTTTAGTCACATTTCAAAGTAAAGTAGAACCAAAATGGAACTTCATTATGACTGAATTGGGTTTATGTTTCACTCTCAATTATAGATTTGCCGAGTTACTTTCACCAAAGTAAGAAAGTATTTCTATTAATAATAATAATTAAAAATCAGACAAAACCTAAGTATAACTCAATCAACGATTCTAGTTTAATATTGAATACAAAGCCCAAATTCGAAGTTGACTTTTTAAAATGCCATTACCTAAATGGACTCTGTTATGCCAGATATGATTGTGATAATAATGTGTCCATTGCAGTAAGTAATAAAAAAAATCGATTTTCTATTCAACCTGCTATTTTAGTTTCACATACATTCTCCTTTGGAAGTTATACATGCAACATCGGAACGACCATTAAATATAAAAACAAGTGAAGAATGTGAAGTGAATTATAAATTAACGCAAACCTATTCCTTGGAAGATATAAGGTATCTTACTCCAAATCAGAGAAAATGTCGTTTTGATGATGAACCATTAACCGCAAATGTACCAGTTTATAGTACCAGTATTTGTTATATGGAATGTAGATATAGATTATCTATGGAAATGTGTGGTTGTAAACCTTTCTTTTATACCTTCCTTGGTAAGTGGACTATGAAAAATAATGTTAACAATAACAAAAATGTTGTAGATGGAAAACAATGTGATATAACTGGTCTGTTATGCTTGGCAAAAATATCAAATTTATTCAACCGTACAACACAAATACGATGCGATTGTGCTCAACCTTGCAACTTGATAGTGTATTTGAAGCAAGTGCCAAAGATAACTGAGTGGTATAAAAAAAACAATACAGTTATTAATCAATATAACCAATAGTATGTTTCCACAGGGATATCGAATTTTTCGAACAACGAGTGGCATTCAGGTGGGGCCTTATTCTTCCAACTACAAAGTATCAGAGAAAAATTATTTTTGGATCTCAAGAACTAATGGGTAAACATAATACGCATATGTCGCAGGCATCAGTCTTATTAGAATACTGGGATATTTTAAATTTATAGTTTGAAATTGGTGACAATACAAAATTGCCCTGAGCAAATTTATATACATACTTATAATGTCTTCACAATTTAAATATTTTCTAGGATATTTTCAAAATCAATGCACTTCATACGACCAAGCATTCTGTTATTTTTGTTAGCCCTCCCAATAATTCTCTCAAAAATCTACAAAATCTCATGAAGGAACATTGTTTGACAAGATTAAGCAACATATTATTAGCTCCGTGAAGTTATTGTTCAAGATGGTCTCAACACAATGCTCGAAGAGTTTGAGGGTGGATGGAAATTTACAGATTCTTCGATAGTTCCAATATCATCCCTGCTACCTATTTATGCACAGGGTAAAGATACCATAATTTTCATTGTTAGAAATCAAATTGGTCAGCTTCATCAACATCCGATTCCAAACAAGTTTCAGTAAGAGCTATTGAGATGTAAGACTCTTAAAGAGCTACAAAAAATAAGTCTTCAGGGCATTTACGATTGGTACTGAAACAAAATCTACTGAGACTGCTGGTCGTCTCCTCTTCCCCAAAAACTTGAATTAGTATGATAATGAAAATTGTCTGGCAGAATTTCTTTTACAGCAATTCCAGCATGCCAGATGTTGAAATCCAGCCATCCTCTCAGAATATACTCCTCGACAAGCCACATCCTTGTTCTCATCTAACATCGGGAACACAAATTTTTTATACCATATAATGGGATATGTATCTTTCTTTGTGATTCCAGGGCCACAACGACCAATGTATAAGCATTGGCACTGCAAACGAGCTGTGATCCTGCGCGCCAATAGTTGATTATTGTTTTTTTTGTGTTTGACATACAAGATAAGGTTTTATTTTTATCTGAGAATCTGAGGCACCTGAGTGTGGCGTTGCTTTGGGGCGGCACCAGGCCCATAGCTAGAGGGGGGCCAGAGTGGGCAATGCCCACTCTGAAAGAAAAAGTTGCCCACTCTAGAGTAGACTAGAAAAAAATAAATATAATATAGGAAAAAAAAAACATAAAATCACAAAGCAAATTATGTGATTTAATTTCTGTTTTCCCGGATAATATTATCAATGCTTTTATAAACTCCAATTATTTTGAAAAAGTTTACGCCTATTTACTGCGACCGTTTATAAAACTACAGTTTAGTTCATATTTTACCTTAAGATGGGTGGCATTAATAACATTTGAAATCTGTTACTTCTGTGCTCTTATTGGTTGATTTTTTAAAATTCGTCTGCACAGAGAAAAAAAAATTAAAACAGAATTGGCTCAAAATTGGCATAAACATTCTTTGATCTACAGTCCGAATATTTCGGTTTTTCGATATTTTGCGAGATTTTAGAAATAATCCATAACGCCTATAGGCAACCAGGCCTGGGACTCTGTAATGGATAGAGATCGTTATCCCTATCGCTATGGTACTTGCTCTCTCTTGGAAATCAATAGAGAGGGTACATCAATAGAGAAAAAATCTCTATTTGTTAGAGAGTCCTAGTCCAGATATACACTTTCCATTTAGAGAAAAACGCAAATTATCGAAAAACTAAAATATTCGGATTGTACATAATCCATCAAAGAATGTTTATGCCACTTTTGAGCCAATTCTGATGTGTGTTTTTCTTTCTCTTTGCAGACGAATTTTAAAAAATCCACATAGAACTGACAGATTTCAATGTCATTAGCGCCCCTTCAAGAGCGCTCTTATGTATTTTTATTATTTCTTTGTGTTTTGTTAAGCTTTTATATTTCATAATCAGTTATTATGTACCTACTTTGGAAAGTAACGTTTTTGCACCTTGTCCGTGATTTTAAGTAATTCTGAAAAAAACAAAAATAAGTTTGCCCCCTCTAAATTTTTGATTGCCCCCTCTGGGATCAAAACCTGGCTACAGGTCTGGGCGGCATAGTCAGATTCATGTTTCACCTACTCAAACCAAATAATCGAGGGGTGTTAAACTTCCAAGTATTTTGTACACCTGATTTTTGATTTTCATTACCTTAATGGAAATCAATGAAATCAAAAATTAGATTTGGTAAAATCTCATGATTTCAACGATTTCTTGAGATAATTATTTGATTTTACTTGATTTTGCTGATTTCACTTGATTTGGTTGATTTCATTGATTTCCCAGATTTACATTGATTTCCCAAGAGTAAATGTGATTTTACTAGATTCACACAGATTTCATGATTTCAGTACCATTTACTATACCCGAGACTATACCTATGTCGAGATCGAAATTATTGGTAATGACTCATACCATTAGCAACGCTATATCAAGTAAGTGGCATCATAATAAAGTCGAGAAGTTTTACTGTGCCAATACTACCACTTCACAGAAATTACACCATGCTGTGCTGTGAGTAATTTCGATCCTGGGTAGTATAGGCGTCAGGCGAGGGGTGAATAACTAACCCAAAATGTGTACACTGAGATCACCGACTGTCAAATTCCACAATTTTTAAGGGGGAAACAGCACCTCATGTACACTGTGTCCCAAATTGCTTGTAATCACAGAGTTCCTCGGTAACCAGCAGCTATAGAACTTTGCGGTTTTCGCCAACCTGTATCAATTTTTCGTGAAACTTTGAATGCCGCAAACAGAATTGTGCCACCTTGTTCCGTTCCCGAGATACAGGGTGAAATAGAAATTTTGCGCTTTTTTGAGGTGGTCATATTTCGAACACATTGTAAGTTGTGCGATAGAAAAAAGGCGAAAACTACTATAGATAGATATTTTTATGTGGAATCTAGTGTTGTAGTCAATAGTTAATATTGCGTCACTAGTTCATTAAGATTATTAAGTTTTTCAAGTCCAGAGTAAAAAATGGTTATTAAAAAAATTAATAATTTTATTCAATTTTGCTTGTGGACACTTTAATAGGTACCTATAATTCCATGGCCAACTTTCCAACTTACGTTTTTCTTTTATTATTGCGTTTTTAAGATTTAGTTTGAATCACTGTGCAAAGTGTGATGCATCATTTCAAAGAGAAAAAAAGGCGAATTTTTTGGGACCAAAAAATACAGGGTGTCTCATTTATAAAATACTAAGTTTGGGGTATATCTTGAAAACGATTTGTCTAAAAAATTTTTTGATTACAACACTGGATTTTACGTAGAAATATCTATCTACAGTAGTTTTCACCTTTTTTCTATCTTACAGGGTGTTCTATTTCACTCTGTATCTCTGGAACAAAACAAGGTGTCATAATTCTGTTTGCGGCATTCTAAGTTTCACAAAAAACTGGATGGCGAAAAACACAAAGCTATCTCTGCTGGTTACCGAGAAACCCTGTAATTACAGAAATTTGGGACACAGTGTATGAATAAGCGCACATAGGCCCATTTTATTGATTGGGCCAAAATTAAACAACAAAACAAAAAAGGCGCGAATTTTGAATATTTTATTGGTGAAGGCAATGCCTTTAGAAAACAACGATTTCAGGATTTCAACAAATTGTATGTGATTTGTGATGATTTTAAGTGATTTACAAAGATTTTCTTGATTTTGATTGATTTTTCGGATAGACTTGATTTGCATTGATTTCGAATGGTTTTACGAGATTTTTCAAGATTTCAATGATTTTAAGGGATTTAATGTGATTTTGCTTGATTTTACAGATTTCGGTGATTTGTATTGATTTATGTGAGTTTGAACAAAGTGTACACCTGATTTCAGGAGTGTCACACCCCTCGCAAATAATCCTTTAGAACTTAGTAATCTTTGGAGAGAAAGACGGGCTAAGTTCAGACAATCATGCAGTGAGTCTACTAGTAGAAACAGCTAAATTAAGTTAGTTTTCTCTTATTATTTTTTGTTTTTATAAAACACTGGCAAAGAATTGATCAAATTTTCATGATTCTGAGTCATTATCACATAATTTGCTGAGTATCTAGGTTTTTTTTTCTAGAAAACTTAACCAATTTTCAAAGTAGGCCCAGTCCCATTGAGAGAAGTATTAAAATAAGACTGATTTAAAAGTATACATTTGACCTAAAAGCTTATGGTATTTTACATTATTGATTTTTTTTTTACTTTTCAGTTTCACTTGGCGGAACCTTATCACTTTTCCTAGGGATGAGCTTCATAAGTATTGTTGAAATAATTTATCAACTGGGTGAATTTTTATATAATTATTTGACCCAAAAACAAAAAACCGAAAAACGAAAATTATTGATTGTTTCAGGAAAACCAAAGTTTTAAAAAATAGACACACTATTCCTACTTTTTATTATTTTTAATCAATTTTAGTTCAGGTATTTTTTTCTGCCTACCTATAGACGTTGCACCATACATACATGTTTGTATTGCTTTTGGAATTAATATAACACCATTACTTTGTTGATGTGTTTCTGTCAAAGCAATTAACAGTCTAGGCACAGCACAAGCAGTTCCATTCAATGTATGCACATAATCTGTAGAACCATCTGGCTTTTTATATTTTATATTCAACCGCCTAGATTGGAAATCTGTACAGTTTGAACAACTTGATATTTCACCTAAAAAAAAACAACTGTATGTATACCTAATAATAATACACAAATAATAACTTACCATACATATTTCGTCCTGGCATCCAAGCTTCAATATCATATTTCCTATAAGCCTGTGCACCTAGTTCATGTGGAGGCATATCAAGAACTTGAAAGTGAATATCTAACAACTTAAAAAATTCCTCCTGATGTGTCCTTAATTCTTCAAGAATTATATCAGATTGATTTGGTAAGGAAGCTATAAACATTTCTACTTTTGTAAACTCATGTACCCTAAATTGAAATAAATTTTTACACAAATTAGTAAAGACATTTATTTTTACCTATAAATCCCTCTTTCCTCTGAAAGTCCTGAAGTTTCAGCTCTATAACACCTGCTTACAGCACATAATTTCAAAGGTAGCTCATCAACACTTAAAACCTTATTAGCTAAATATCCAGCAAGAGCTATTTCAGAAGTGCCAGATAGACAAAGATCTGGTTGATGGATATTTGGATCTAATGAATAAACCTAGAATCTTAATTGGAGCTTTTTCTATGCAATTGTTGAATTCTTACTTGTGTTCTTTCTCCTTGTGTGTTCATACCACAACTTTCAACAACATCCCTAGGTAAAATATCTGGTACAGACACTAATTGATAATTGTACTTTAACAGATTGCTGACAAAATATCGTACTAATGCTTGTTCAAGCTGTGCCATTTGTCCTAATAAATAGTAACTTTTACTTCCAGATAAATTACCTAATTGCTCCGTTCTGACTAGATTAAGGCGTTTAGTTATTTCATGAAATTCTTTGTGAGCAAAATCAAATTTCCTCCTTTCTCCTACATACTTTACAACTTTGGCGTCCTCTCCGTAATTGAAGACTTCAGAATGGGTTTTATTCGGAATCATAAAACATTCTTTGTGTAATTCTTGTTTTGTAACCTCATAAGATGGATCAGTGGGCACAAGTGAGTTTAATTTTGAATTTAACTCATTAACTAATTGGATATTACCTATGCCTTTACGTTTAGAGATATTTTCTTGGATAGCTGGAATATTGGAAGAGTTGCACAAGTATTCTTGATCAAATTCAACATTTTTGGGAATGTTCCATAATATGTTTGGTGTCGTATATATACACCGGTTAAATGATTTTATAGACGATATATTTAGACACTTGCTAATCAAAATTAACATTTTAAAACTAAGATGAAAGTGGTATTGTTTTTCAGTTTTTCAAAAGATGGTTTGGTGGTGTTTAGTGTTTGTTTATGTTTATCAAAACTTAACCAAACAAAACGAAATATTTTATAATTTGTCAAATCTTTCCTTAGTTCTCTTCACGTGGCTCCGGTTCAACTAACCGGGTTACAAAACGATTAGAGAAATGACATACCGTTTTCTAACCCGGTTACAAAGTGACGTGATCATTGAGATAGTATATAAAAGGAGATGCTGTTACCATAATATACGAGTATGCATTGATAAAGGGATCATTAGGAGGAGCTTATTCCAGCACCAATATGGCCGCATGATCAGGGTTGGATTCAGCTCAACTCAAATATATTTAAAATTCAAACTCTATTGGTATTTCAATTTTTACATGTATTCAATTGTTTTTATGTGGCCTAAAAATTGTTTCTTAATATGGGCATAATAATATATTTATATTTATACCTATTACATTTATAATACAGAAGGAACAATAATATTTTTATTTAACAAAAACACTTCGAAAAAAACAACTATTTTATAATTGTTAGCAAAAATATAAAAGCAGAATATAAAAAAAAAATTACCACATCGCTTAAATCTTATTGCCTAAATAAAAATTTCATTGACCCGTAAATAATGTAAGCTTATTGCTTTCGCTTTGATGTCTCTCACTAATGGGTTTATTTGGTTTATTTTTTGTCAGGTATGCCATTCTAATATTCAAGTATCTTCTTTCTGCAATCTGCATTCTCAAAACATAGCTACATATTAAAACTACAACAAAAAATTTGAAGTCCGATCCTGAATGTTGTTAATACTCACCTATGAAATGATATTCCCGTTGATTTCTATTTTTCTACGTAAAACCTGCTGCAGCAACTTCTTACTGCGCATGAAGACATTATACTTCTCTCATACACAACACAAGCAGGTCGAAAAAACACCAAAATAAGCCAAAAATTACGTATTACGTCTCGAAATCAGAAATTGAGTATGACAGTTGTAATGACAGTAAGTTATGACACAAAACCAGCACCATGACGGACCCGCTACCGCTTTTGGTCAGGTGACGCCGCCTTCTCCCCTATATACTACCTCAATGGACGTGATGGATACCTACCACTCGAATTTCAGCGGTATGTTGCGGTTTGTTAAACCGGAGCCACGTGAAAAGGGTTTTGCGTTTCTCGACTCATAACCCTTTTCACGTGGCTCCGATTTAACAAACCGCAACATACCGCTCAAATTCGAGTGGTGTCAATCAATAGGTCTGTTTCTGCAGAAATCACAAACCAGTCAGAGTGAATTTCATTGGTTGAAACTAGTTTTCTGACTATTTCTGACTGTTTTCAACCAATGAAATTCGCTCCGACTGGTTTGTGATTTCTGCAGAAACAGACCAGGGCCCGTATTCTCGTCACCGGGGAAGAGCGTTCCCTCAAGAGAACGATTGCTCTGTCTTAGTCATCCATATTGTTATTTCCATAATACTGACAAAGACAGGGCAATCGTTCTCTTGAGCGAACGCTGTTCCCTGGTTACGAGAATACGGGCCCTGGGCGGATTACGAACTCTCGATTCGAACCGAAACCGCCATGGATTTCGAACGCCTCCATAGTTCTTTTCACGTGGCTCCGGTTTAACTAACCGGGTTACAAAACGGTTAGAGAAATGACATACCGTTTTCTAACCCGGTTACCAAGTGACGTGATGGATACCTACCACTCGAATTTGAGCGGTATGTTGCGGTTTGTTAAATCGGAGCCACGTGAAAAGGGTTCATGTGAATGCATAGGAATGCGTTCGAAATCTATGGCGGTTTCGGTTCGAATCGAGAGTTCGTAATCCGCCCCTGGGCTGGGATCACGACGAGTAGAATTCTACTTTCATGACGTCACCCGCGACCAATTTATGGCGTACAGTACAGGGATGATGATGGATGTTAGGCAACCTGACGTCATGAAAGTAGAATTCTAGTAGAATTCTACTTGTCGTGATCCCAGCCCTGATCACATCACTTTGTAACCGGGTTAGAAAACGGTATGTCATTTCTCTAACCATCTCGGCGATATGAGCCGCTTTCCAACTGACCATTTTGAGCACGAAATCGAGCTTTTGCGCGCGCAAATGCTTCAAGCGCGTGTTCGTGTTCCAGCCGTACTGCGCTCCGAGAGTGCGTTCAAGGATGGCAATTCTAATGCCAAAACCTATAGACCGGTGGCCCAGCGTCAAATCACCCCCCTCATCGGGCACAAAATTTTCATTATAGATACTCGAAACACTTTATCATTCGTAACCAAAAACCGCCCGTCTGCCAGCGATGGGTGGTAGCCCGCTCTCATGACCGCCCCCCAAATAAGGGAATTTTGATCAAAAACCCCCCTTACGAGTACACAAATGAAATTTTTTGGGCATGTAGAGAATTATATTAGAAACCTAAAAACACGCGGCAGACGCCTTCCAGTGGTAGCCCATCTAGGGCAGACGCCTGCTTCCAGTGGTAGCTCGTCCAGGGCAGACGACCTTAAAAAAAATATATGACGTAAAACTACCCTTACGAGTACATTCAGAAAACTTTGTAGTCTAAACAGTCAGATTGGTGTGCTAAAAATTCATGGCAAACGCCTTCAAGTGATAGCCTGTTTAAGACAAAATATCGCTGAAGCGTTTCTTATTATCGATAAAGACATTAAATAAAACTACAACATAAGAATTAGGGACAAAAACACAGATTTATGTATTATTCAAGAGTACTTAGCATTAATAATGATAAATAGGAGTTACAGATTATAGATTATATAGGAACACGGTAGAGTAATGAATTTCCCAGACCTAACTTCACTAGAGAGTCATTACGGGGGGAAGTCGATAATTTGTTGGAAAATTCGTGTAAAATTATTGATGCTTTGTAGGGATTTTTTGAAGTTTGAGGATGATAGAGTTGACCCTAAAACACAGCCAAGAATAGTTTTTTCAGTAAAGTTAGGTGTGGGAGAGTCACTACGGGGGGAAGTCGATAATTTGTTTGAAAATTCTTGGAAAATTAATAATGCTTTGTAGGGATTTTTTGTCATTTCAGAAAGAAAGAATTGACCTTTAATCGCATCCGAGAATACTTTCTTTAGTCAAGTTAGGTCTGGCAAAGTCACTACGGGGATCGATATTTCATAAACTTCATAAATCTATCCCTCCAAATTCCTAGAATTCTCTTAGCTTCACTCAGCTTCACGCATAAATATGTTTTTTGGATATTGGTTTTCAGTGTCATGGAATGTGACTGACCTAACTTTAGGTGCAACCTTGAATCTTTGCTAATCCTGAACAAATGAACCGATTTGGGATTTTTTTAGTTTGCAGCCCTTTTCTTCTTTCATCGAAGCTAGAATTTTTTTCAGATTTTTCAAAGAAATAAAATAAAAAAATTGTGAAGACATTTGTTACGAAATCTCGAAGCGTGTAAACACTGTGAAAAGTGCAGTTTTACAAAAATAGTTTTTATTTTTTCTAAACAACAAATCCCTTAAATAGTCCGATTTCCTATTACGACTGCGCGCGTCGCTTGTAGGCTGCAGAGTCTGGCTACACTGCAGCCCCCAGTTGCGCGCGCATGTCATGTTTTATTACTTTCTAATTTGTATTTATTACAATTATCAAGCTCTCTTTTCCAAATCATGCGAGATAGGTCTATTATATTTAATTTTCTGAGAATTTACAAAAAAATTATCGACATCCCGCCGTAGCGACTCTCCCACCAGAATCAACTTGACTAGAGAAAATATTCTCGAATGAGCTTAAGGGTCAACTCTATCATCCTTAAGCTTCAAAGAATGCCTACAAAGCATCATTAATTTTTCACGAATTTTCAAACATACTATCGACTTCCCCTCGTAGTGACCCTCCCAGACCTAACTTGACCGCAAAAACTATTCTGGACTGTGTTCAAGGTTCAACTCTATCATCCTCAAACTTCAAAAATCCCTACAAAGCATCATTAATTTTTCACGAATTTTTCAACAAATTATCCACTTCCACCTGTAGTGACTCCCCCAGACCTAACTTGACTGCAAAAACTATTCTTGACTGTGCTTAAGGGTCAACTCTATCATCCTCAAACTTCAAAAAATCCGTACAAAGCATCATTAATTTTTCACGAATTTTCCAACAAATTATCGACTTCCCCCCGTAATAATGACTCTCTAGTGAAGTTAGGTCTGGGAAATTCATTACTCTATCGTGTTCCTGTATAATCGGTAACTCCTATTATTTATCATTATAAATGTTTAGCACACCAATCTGACTGTGTAAGTCTACAAAATTTTCTGAATGTACTTGTAAGGGGAGTTTTACGTCATATATTTTTTTGAAAATTTTGTGCCCGATGAGGGGGGTGATTTGACGCTGGGCCCAGTGTTGCCAGGTCTACTGATTTTTCAGTAGATCTACTGATTTAGAGTTTTGTCTACTGATCTACTGATAATACCTTTGAGTCTACTGAAAAAAAAGGCTGGACCAAAATGAAAAAAAGAACACACGTCATCTCAAATACGCAACACACTAGAACGAAAGGCGACGAGAAAAAATGCACTTGACCAGAATCCAAAAAACCGCGACTGGAGTACTTCGGAGTGTAATCGGAGTAAGTTGGGAGTCGGGACTACTCCAGCAGCGGCAACAGAAAGTGCCTTTCTCTTCTGCTACGTCACGTGTGACGTCACCATACTACAGCCACGCGCGCGCACCGCACCATCGCGCTATACCTACCACAGCTTGCGGGATTCCCCGAATTTTCTGTGTAATGTGGGAGCGAATAAAAAATAGTGAAAATAATTGATGTAACAACATAACAAATATAATAACCTATGTGTTTTGATAGATTGAATAAATTGAATCTTCAAAAATGAGGTATGTGAACATACAAAATAAATATATTATTGTCGTTCATGGGGGAGTTTTGAATTAAAATTTATAGGAGAAGTTTCATTGGAATGTAAATTCGAAACATGCTTGAGAAATGTTAAATTTATTATGGTAGTTTGTGTCAAAAAG